CATGGGGCCCTGCTGCTGGGGACAGGGCAGATATCGGAGCAGCTCTGCACCGCCTCTCATAGTCCTGAAGGAATGCCCATTTCTAGGACATGGCTCCTCAGCCCTTTGGATCCAAGGACCTCTCAGCCTTCCTGGTAAAAGGGATCCATGGGCTATCGGGAGCAGAAACGTCCTTGGTGTCATAGGCAAGGTTGGCTTTTGGATGCCCGGGCCTCACTTTGGAAGCCCCTGTTCTGCTGATTCAGGTGTTCCTGGGTGTTCTGTGGCACTCGTGACCTCTTACAAACCAAGAGTTGTCACCAGGTGACAACCTCAGAGGGTCTCTAGTTCACTGTGGGATGGGGCCATGTGCCTCGAGCTGCTTCCACAGGGCAGCATGCCGGGCGAGCTCCCGCAGGCACTGCAGGGCTGCCTGGGCAGCGGTACCCAGGAGCTGTCTTTACCTGACACGTTCATGGAGGCAAGATCATTCCCCATTCCCACACCGAGCCCTGTTCTGGAGGCTGTGCTGCACCCCAGTCATGGCGAGGTCCCTGGGCTGCACAGTGATCAGTGCAGATTGCGATGGTGCTGTGTGACGGAGGCTGAGCTCCCCCCACCCCAGCAGGTTTCTCTTCACCTCCTGTGTCTGTTCCCTGCTGCCTCCAGGGTGCCAGAGCATCACAGCCCCGATCCTGCTGCGGGAGGACGCTGAGCCCTGGGCACGGCGCGGTGGCCTCTTTGGAGAGCTGCAGGTGAGAGGATACCCATCACTGGGGGGGGGCTGGAGGAGCCTTGGGAAGCAGGACCCCAGCTGCTGCTCCTGGCCTGGCACTGGGTTACTGCAAGGGAAGGCAGAGCTGCCCTGGGCCTCTGCGCCTTGTCTGCAGCTCCCAGGGTCCAGGCTGCTCACAGGGACCCTCCTGCTGCTGCTCAGGGCGAGGTTTGGAGCCAGGACTCCCCCGACACTGTCTCTTCCAGGCGCTGCTGCCCGTGGGGAACAGCTCTGACCTCTTCTATCAGCCACCTCCGCTCTTCCCGTCTCGCCGGCTGTACGCTCTGCGCCCGCTGCGGCCCCGGGACAAGGTGGGAGCTGCAGCACAAGGAGCAGCCAGAGCTCAGCTCCGGGAGCCTGCGCTGCACGTGTCCCATGCGAGACGCGCTCACTCGCTGCAAGGGGGGCTGAGCTGCAGCTCGGGCTCTGAGGGTGGAAGGGACCTTCAAGCAGGCAGGGCTGGGTCAGGGCAGGCCCCAGGATGCAGAGCGGGTGTTGTGGCCAGGGCAGAGCAGGGAGACCCAGCTCAGGAGTGAGCCCCACTTGAGCTGGCTCCAACGTGGGATGCCAGGAATCTCAAGCGGTCTCCAGAGCACCCCCAGAGCTGAGCTCCAGTGGTGCCTGCGAGCAGATGCCAGGGAAGATCCAGAGCAGGGCAGGTCTGGATGGTGACCGCCTGCAGCCTTCAGCAGCCTGCGGCTCTGGCACTGCCTGAGCCTGTTGAGGTGCAGCTCCCAATCAGTCCCTTCTTCAGATGCGCACCCAGTTGAGAGGATGATTCCCCGTTGGTGGGGCAGCAGACCCTGTCAGCTGTGAGCAGCGCGCTGCCAGCCCCCTCGCCCCATTTCCATCCCCGCAGTTCGATGGCATGGTGAGGGAAAGGGAGAACGTGGAGGTGGGTGGGCATCCCGCTTCAACTGCTGCCGAGTGCAGCAGAGTGCTGGGCTCCCTAGGCAGCACAGAGCTGGCAGCAGCTCCCGGCTCCCTTGCCCTGCTGCTTCTGCCAGTGAAAGGAAATGCAATCGCTGCAAATCCAGAGTCATGGACACAAGCACAGGACCCGGCGGTGCTCAGCTGAGCTCTTGTGAACAGCAGAGGAGGAGCTGCCAGTGCAGGAGAGCAGATCACAGGAGCAGACTGCCCCTCTCAGCACGTCCCACTGCAAGAGCTTCCCCACTGCCTATTGTCAGATTTCATCTGACCAGGCTGAACTTCAACAGCCTGAATCTGTGTCCAGTGAAACGGAGGGGAAAAGTGCAGCTGAACTGCCCGTGGTGGGAATGGTGCTGGGAAGCACGCTCACTGTCCTGCTGTGTCACACAGCGCTGGGGCAGCCCTTCCCTGGGGAAGCAGTGCTTCTATTGGGATGTGCCTTTCACTGGTCCTGTGAGCAGCAGCAATCTTGAGTCTGGCTGAGATAGGAGGTCCTGAGTTGTCCCATGTTGGGCATGCGCTGAGCAGACTCGAGTTCCAGTCCTGGTTTCGCTGCAGCTGTGAGCATGTTCCATCCCTGGCGAGCTGCGTTTTCATCAGCTGCTCCCCTGGGATGCCTGCCTGGAATGGCAGTTTCCCATTCTGAAGTGTTTCTGTGCTGGGATAAGCAGCCTCAGAGGCCAGCAGAAGGTGGTGCGCTGTGCATCGCTGGGCGCAGAACCCAGCACCCTTGGCTGCTGAGGCACGTACCTCCATATACCTGCCCCGGGTCAGGATGCACTGGAGGGCTGGGCCCTGGTCACGGACCCTCTCTCTGGTCAGCTTGGGAAGCTGAGGGCCCACGATGCTCTGTCGGGGGCTGTGGTGGGGCAGCAGAGGAGCAGCAGTGGGGAAGGGACCAGGCAGGCAGAGCCAGCGCTGAGCTGGATCTGACTCTTCCAGGAAGAGCTTTACCGCATGTTCCGGGAGAGTCTGGACTGTGACCCCAAAGTCACAGAGATCCTTGTGGCCCACCCCGACCTGCTCGGTGACAGGTAAGACATGGTCCCTCTGAGCGTGCCCAGCCCGGCCATGCCGTGTGCTGGGTGGTGCTGGACTGTGGTGTGATGTGGTTGCCTCTTGCATCCCAGCAGGGCCCAGCTCTGCCTGCACCATGGCTGGCAGTGGCCTCACCTGGGAGAGCTACCCCTGTGCCAGTGCCCAGATGGGTTGTGGGGATGGACCCGCTGCCATGGCTCCCCTTGGCTGGGGGCTTCGCCTGGGGGTCTCAGGGATGTTCTGGGGTGGGGGATGCTGTCCCGCTGGGCAGGAGGGAGGAGTTTGGCTGCTCTGAGCTCTCCCCAGGGCAGGCTGGGCCCCAGTGGCAGCTCAGTGCAGCTTTGCTGTGGCCGCAGGCTGCTGGGCAGCTTCCTGAGCCTGAGCCCCGAGTACACCTTTGTGCTGGAGGATGAGGCTGGTCCCTGTGGCTATGCTGCCGGCGTGCTCTGCGCTGAAGGCTTCCTGCAGCAGCGAGACAGCAGCTGGCTGCCGGCCATGCGACACAAGTACCCCCGGGACCTGGCTGCAGGAGCCCCAGCGCTGGGCAAGGTGAGGGAGCTGCTGGAGCGGGAGTGAGCGGGTTTGGGATGGGGGCCCCTCAAGGTGCTTGTCTCCCGCAGGATGCCCTGGAGGAAGCGCTGCTCTTCTTCCACACAGAGCCAGCGACAGTGCCCCTGCCTGTGCTGCGGCGGTTCCCCTCCCTGGTGCAGCTGGGCACAGCCGCCCGCATGCTGGATGTGGGGGCCAGCCACAGCCTGGCCCTCTGCCTGCTGAGCGCGCTCAGGGCCAACGGTGAGCATCCCCTCGTGTGCCTTCATCCAACCCCATCCCCACTGCTCCCTGGCCCACCCCGGAGCCGGGAGCTGGCCCTGCCTGCACCCCACCGGGGTGCCCCCCCCAGGGCTCCCCATCCCCTCAGTGACACAGTCTGGCCCCAGGCACCATGCCCCCCCCTTGCACCAAGGGATCTGTGCCTTGGGGCATCACACAGGCACGCAGAGCAGAGGGGCAGTGCAGAAGTTGACCTTCTTATGGAGGGGGACCCAGTCACTGGCCTCTAGTGCTGGGATCCTGGTGCCAGGGGCCTGACCCCACACCTCCCTTCCAGGGTCGCGGGGAGTGTTTTGCCAGGTCAGTGCCACCGACCAGCAGCAGCTGAGCTTCTACAGCAAGCTGGGCTTCGTCGCTCTGCCAGTGGCCTGGGACAGTTGTCCTGGTGCTCGGCTCCTGGGACGTCTCCTCTGAGCACCCTGCATTGGGTGCGGGTGTGGGGAGGCAGTGCCGGAGACAGGCTGATACCCGTCCCGCACACAGGGAGCAGGAGCAGAGGGGCACCTTGATCAGAGCAGGTACATGCGATGGGGACATGGCTCGGGGAGGAGCAGGAAGTCACAGGGATTCATGCAGGGGACAGTCCTCAGGCGACAGAGGCATTTCTGCTATCTCAGGAGAGAGGCATCAGGGCCCCTCCACTCTCCCCCAGCTGTTCCTGCTTGCTGAGTGCCCTCCACCACTGGTGGGGAGCCAGCAACATCCCTGGGCTGGCTGCAGACCTCCAGGCCTGGAAGGAGCCACCTGGCCAGCATTTAGGGTGGTGGTCTGGGAGCGTGGCACAGTGCATTAGTGTGCAAGGAGCGTCCCTGTCCCGCAGGCTGGGCTGTCCAGATCGCTCCATCCCCGATGTGGCCCTAAGCTGGGTAGCTGGGGCTGGGGCTGGCCCTCGGCATCGAGCATCTTCCTGCCTGTATCTTCCCGACCTGTATGGGACAGTGAGGCAGCCTCCATCTCTGCCACCTGGGGGCTGAGGGAAGCGTTGTCCGTGGCAATAAAGCATTTGCTGGGCTCTCACCGTGGTTTGTCTCCTGGGCGAAACAATCAGGGTATCAGCATGTCCCGATCACACCCTCATCCCGACCCCTCAGCCAGCCCTGGCTGTCAGCCTCACCCCTGCTGTCGCTGTATCTGGTCCTGCGCAACCTCAAACGAAGCAGCTCCCCCACATCCACCTCTCCAGGCACTCACCAGCTCTTGGCCTCCGCTGGCAACATACAGGTGGTTGGGACTGGATGAGCTTAAGGCCCTTGCAACCCAAACCAGTCTGGGGTCCTGGGACCCCGCTGCAGCCTCTGGAAGAGTGTTGGGAGGGAGAGATGGAAGGATCAATCCATCACTGACGCTTTCTCTTCCGTGCCCCAGCCACAGAAGTGAGGAGGAGGCTGGGGCAGCGGTGCCCAAGAGACTGGAGCGGGGGGGCTCTCGTCCAGCCCGGCCCGGCCCCGCGCTGCCGTGGGTACGGGGCTGGGCAGGCGCTCGGTGCTCCCGGGCTGGGTCCCAGTGCCCACGGCTACGCGGGTGGGACGGCAGCGGGGGGCCGCTCCGTGGCCGGGCGGGGCTGTCTGGAGGAGGGACCCGCAGCGGGCAGGCCCCCCCCGGGCTCCGTCCCGGGCCTGGCGCCGTGCCCAGCAGGGCCGGGGGCCCCATCCCGGGGCCGGGGGCGCGGGGCCCGTCTTCGCTGTACCGGCAGCGGGGCCGCTGGCGCGGGCCGGCCCCGGACACTTGGGCACGGCGCGGGGCGGGCCGGGGCGGAGAGGGGCGGCACGGCTCGGCTCGGATCAGCAGAGCTCGGCTCGGCTCAGCTGGACGCTGTCGCTCGGCGCTGCCGGAGCCGCGCATCCCTCGGGGACCAGAGGTACCGCATGGGACAGCCGAGCGGGGGCGGCGCCGGCGGGGAGCGTGGCTCGGACCGGCGCGGCTCCATCCCGGCTCCGTCCCGGCACGTCCCGTCAGCGGCGGGGCTGGGTGCGGCGGGGCGGGCCCGGCCGCGGCGGCAGCTGGGACCGGTGGGGCCGCGGGGGACGGGCGGGAGCGGGGGCCGCTGTGCGGTGGTTGTGCCGCCGCCGGCGGGGCAGGAGCGGCGGCGGGGGGGCCGTTGGCAGTGGCTGCCGTGCTGTGCTGGGGCTGCAGGGGCGTGCTTCAGGAAGCCCGGCGGTGGGAGATGGGAGCGTGTGATGCCGCGTGTCCCGCGGGGCAGGCTGCGGGTGCGGGTGCGGGCAGTGCAGGCAGCGATGCGGGAAGAGGCGCCCGCAGACCCGGCAGTTTGGGGGTGCCCCATTGGGTCTGTGCAGCCACACTGCATCCCCACGTGCGGGCTTCGGCTGGCTGTTCCGAGCTGTGGTTTGCAAAGGGCGGTGCACGCTCAGGGTGTCCATGAAGATGGAATTTACTGTAGCCCTTGGAAGAGAGAACGGATGAAGGGGTGTGAGGCACGGGGCTGAGGGGACATCATCACTTGGCTGCTGCCCATGAATCTTCCCAGCAGCTCCCCAGAGGAGCAGGCAGGTCACCTATCTCCCAGTAGCTCCAAGTTTGGTGCCTCTCTGCTCCAGGGTGCCTGGGACCCCCCAGCCCCGCCGCCTGCTGATGGCTGCAGCCTCTGCACATTCCTCAGGGTCTTTCCTTCCTGCCTGCAGCTGATTCCTGCCAGGGCTGCCCCTTCAGAGCCACGGGGCCCTGGGCAGAGCCGAGCACCGTGGTGTGTCCTGGGGAATCTGGGTGGTGCTGGGAATTGCAGGGAGCTGTGCTGTGACCTGCTCTGGGTTGGAGGGTGACAGCAGGACAGGGGGGCACCAGGACACCCAGTGAGGCTGGACCCAGAGTCAGCAGGGAAGGGCACATCCGCGTGTGCTCCATGCTCTGCACACCCTGGAGAGTCCCAGGAGCCAGGGTGTGCTGCCCGCAGCAGTATCTCTGTCACTGCCTGGGTGCTGGGAGGTGTCGCGAAACCTGCCAGGATGGCCAAGCTCCTGTGGTGGCCCTGGGCTTCTCCCCAGTGCCTCTGGGACCAGTTCATCTGCAGGGCCCTGTGACCCTCCAGCTGCTGGCTGTTGCTCACCCCAGAGCTCTGATCCCATGGGATCCCTGTAGGCAGGGATTATGGGGGGTCCCCCAACTCATGCACACACACTCCCAGCATCCCAGTGCTGCTGGGAAGCAGGAAGAGTGAACCAGGCCTGTCCCGGCAGCTGGGATTACGCAAGGGCCAGAGCCTGGCTCTGCATCGAAGGCCCTAGGGAGAAAGGGAGGGATGGAGCCCAGTGCCTGAAGCCATGGGACCCACCAGACCTTCTCCTGCCCTAAGCGCTGGGGACATGACCCCATGCTCTCAGGGATGTCCTGGCGCGGGCCTCGGCAGAGTGTGACCGTGTCACCCCTTACCCTTCCCAAGGAAGGATAAACAGAGGGAGTTTCTTCCTCCTTGCGCTGGCGGGTTTCCCAGGTCTTCGCTTGCTTGTGCTGCTCTTCTGAGTCCTCCCAGTTGTCAATTTCGGGGCTGCTCCATGTCCCCGCGTGTCCAGGGCTGGGGCTGGGAGAGCACATTCCTGTGGGGTCAGCCATAGCCTGGCCCTTCCTGCTGCAGCAGCCTGGGATATTGTCCCTGTACACAGGGATGCCCCATGTTTGGCTGCCCTAACACATGGAGATCCAACATGCTTACTTGCCAGGACCCCGGTCATCAGGAGCTGCCTCTTCCTTAGGTCTCTTTGTCTGGGAACGGCAGCCCCCGTGCGAGATGCAGTCGGGGGAGCAGAGCTCTCATGCTCCAGCACCAGCAGCTCCGCAGCCAGGAGGTGGTTTGGGGCCCTGCGCGCGCCCGGCCGGGACATTCCTGAGGTTTCCTGGGCAGTGGGGAGGACCCGAGCTGCTCTCCCGCTCCCACGCCCAGCGTTCGCTCCAGGCCAGCCCGTCCTCCTGAGCCCTTTCCACTTGCAGCGCCAGGGCAGCCACGTTCGGCGCGGCGCAGCCCGGCAGCCGCCCTACTCCCAGAGGAGACTGGGCTGGAGCTGGCAGCGGGGCGGCCGATGCCGGGGCAGGACCGTGCCCAGCTCCTGCCCAAGACGCGCGGCGGCAGCAGCCGGGGGACATGCTTGAACACCCCGTCCCTGTCCCAGGCAATTCCTGGCCCCCTGCCCCATCCACATGTGCTGTCTGTCCATGCGCAGGCTGGCTGCACCTCTGCCTTTCGCCCTCTCCAGGGGTGCATGTGCAGGAGGTTCCTGCTCCTCTGAAAGCGCCAGCCCATCAGCTGTCCCATGTGTCGATGGGCTGGGAGCTGCTGCCCTTGTGCTCAGCAGGAATAGCTCGTGCAGGCTGGCAAAGGGGTGCGCCTCTCCCCTTCCCAGAGGTGGGGAGGAAAGGGGAACCCCCGCCTTGGGTCTCTGGTGCTGGGTGATCAGCCCCTGCAGCGTGGAGGGACCCCCAGGCACAGAGCCCCAGCCCCGGCACAGATTTTGTGGCAGGCGGCAGGACTGTGGTCCCCCGATACTGTCCCTCCAGCTGGAGTGAAGGGACCGCAGCCTGAAACCGGGATTTGCTGCGCACGAATCATCCCCATCTGCACCGCTGCAGCTCCCCGGGACGGCCCCGCGGGGCTGGGGTGTCCCCGTCCCCCATCCCGGAGAGTAGCGGCAGCGAAGCAGGAAGCCGGGAGCAGAGCAAAGCGCTGGAAAAAGTGATGTGGACAAGGAGAGCCCTGTCAGCCCGAGGTGCCCGGGACGTGGCTGCCGAGCACGTTCGGAGCTAGTACAGGAACAGGGAAAGGGCTTGTGCCGTGCCCCTGGGAGCACGCACTGCTAGCCCGGCAGCCGCCTGGGGTGGATAGGGGGAGTGCTGGTGCCCCCAGCAGGCATTTCACTGAGAAATGAGGTGAGGACGGGCTGAGGAGGTGAGGACGGGCTGAGCTGCGAGGGCGGGGGAAGAGCAGTCGGGATGAGGGATGCTGGTGCCTTAGCAGGGGAAAGCCATGACCAGGAGCGGGGTGCTGAGGGTGGCAGCAAGCTGGGGTTAGTGCAGGGATGGAAGCGGAAGTCTGGGCAGGTTCTAGAGCAACTGAAGGTCTGTGAGGAAGAGAAATCCACGGTGGCATTTAAACACAGAGGCTGAGGTTGCTGAGCTGAGGCTCCATGGGGACTTGGTGCTTTGCTGTGCAAAGCCATGTTGTGATCTCTGGTGCCATGTTCTGGTCTCTGGTCCTACATGTTTTGCTCCTAAATGCACGAGCTTAAATCTTCCTTGCAGTCTAGGCTATAGGCTACATGATGCCATCTTCCCAGGCTGTTCAGGTCTGTCCTCATCACAGTTCTGCATGATCCTGCCCATTTCTGCCTTTGCAGACTGAACCAGGAGAGGACCTTTTCCTCCTCCAGACATGGTTTTGCTTTGGAAAGCATGTGATCCTCCCCAGAAAGCTCACTGAGGGGTGACTCCCCTGCTGAAACCACATTTTGGTTCCAGCAGGTGACCAGTTTTAATCCACTTAGCAGATGTGTGCTGGTTCTGTTGAGTGCTAATTATTTATTAAAGGCTGGTGCAAGGTGAATTGAGCACATTCCAGTCTCAGCCTGGAATCAGCACAGTTACTCCAATTAACCAAACCTGTGATCTCAGAAAAGGTCAAACCAGCTTCCTGACATGGGCCATCTCTGCAGAGCTGTGGAGACTGGCACCAGTTGTGCTGCTGCATGGACACGCTGCAACCCAGCCTGGAGCTGGCCTGCGCTGCGTATCTGCAGAGGTCGCCTCTTTCAGTGCGAGTGCTGGAGAAGCTTCAGTCCTTCTGTGCTTGTGGTTTCCTCGGTCTTAAGTCAGCACTGGGAGGGCTCAAATTTGTGTTACGCAGTGGTAGGGCTCTGTGGGTTTATAATGCTTCACGTGGGCAGGGGGACCTCCCCTTGGTGACTGTGGGGTGGAATAAGAAGTGTTTTAGCACTTCTGTGACGTGGGAAGCTCATCCCTTTGCTGCTTTCCAGACAGAGCAGAGATGTGGATGGAGCATTCCTGCCCCTGGCAAGCCCATGGACCTGTGTCCTGAGCTGCTGGCAGGGCTGGGGTGGCCCTTTGCGCTCCCTCCTCCTCCGCCTGCCATAACAAGCTGATTAAAAGGTTCAGCACAGCATTTCCCTGCTGCCTGCCCACAAATCTGCTTCCTGCTGTTACGTTCCCACAGTGCCAGTGCACGCAGCTGAGGTGCAGGGAGCCCAGCGACAGGGCACGTCCCTGCCTGCTGCTGGCTCCACTGTGATGTCCCCATGCCCCAGGCTGTGACAGGGGAGAGACCCATGACTGGGCTGACGTGGTTGCCCTGAGGGGCTTTGTGCTTTCCACCACAATGTCTCCCATTGGCCTGGACTGTGTTGTTGGTCCCTGTTACCTCTCACCCTCTCTCCCTGAGCATCCCTGCAGGCACCGGGCACTCAGCCCAAGGGACTCACTGCTCTTGGTGGCATCTCCAAAGCGGTGCATGCTTTACAGGCCAGGTAACCCGGCCTCCATCATCTGGAAAAGTGAACAGAGCAGGAATGGGGCTGATTCCTGCTTGTGGAGTCTCTGTGGAGTCTGAGTGGGGCTTCCCAGCCCCTTTGCTCCACAAGGACCCTTTCCCAAAGCCACTGCAGGGACTTTCTGTCACCACGGGTGCCGAGGGGCCAGGAACAAAGGGACAACATGGGGACAAGCCTTAATCCAGGGAAAGAGGCTCCTACAGCAGCACCAAGAGCAGCCACAGTCCTGGGGATGCCCCAGTACATCCTGGTGGTCCCAGTGAGCTGTGGGTAGGGACGGAAGCTTGCAGGGGAGTGCACTGGGGAGGGTCAGTGCAAAGGGTCTCTGCAGTGCAGCCCCAGCTGTGAGCTTGTGTGGGGTTTGTCATCATTTTCCTTCCTCTCTAATCCTGTGACTAAACACTGGAGCCTGGACCCCCCTCTGCTTGTGGGTGAGCCAGGTTTCCTCCTCTCTAACACTGTCTAATGACAAGCACAGGCTGCGAGTGCAGAATGCAGGATCTGCTCTTGGTTGGGGATGTGGGGCACGGAGATGTATTTCTGCTGGTCCTGTCCTGAGGGGCTCCCACGTTTGGGGTCGCTTTCCCACCTGTAGAAGGGACATCTGGAAGGGTGATGTGAGGCTGTAGTGGTGAAGGCAGATAGGTCTGTGTGTGGGCAGTGTTGGGTGAGCATTCGAGCTTTGCCCTCGGGCCCAGAGCCCAGCCTGGAGAGGGCTCACACTGCCCGTGCAGAAATGCTGCAGCAGCATCCGCAGGGTTAAAGTGGTCCCTGACGGATAAATGGGAATTGTGCACTGGGAACTGGGAACTGAAGGAGGTTCACAGAGAAGTGTTTTCACTACTGTTTGCCACTGGACTGGTGCGGGAATACCACACCTCCCTCAGGTATTTCGGGAGCCACACACATTACTGGAGGGCTGGAGAATGCTGCCCAGAGCAGAACGGGGAAGGCTCCGGCTGCAGCTCCTCGCAGTGGGCAGCAGCTTGGGCTGGAGCGCTGCACCGCATGGGGTGGGTGCAGCTCCCGGCTGGTCCAGCTGGGCTTTCCTGGGTGCTGGTCCTGCTCCAGGGCCCTTTGGCACAGGAGATGTGACCCAGCAGCGCGGTGGGATTCCGGTAGGAGCCATTTGAGAGGAGTGCAGGGTGTGGGGATGGCAGAGCCTGGGCGATAGCAGCTCTGGGGTGCAGGGAGGCACTGGTGAGAGCGGGCTGGGGGCTACAACCGGCACAGGTGGGATGAGGGCAGCAGGTGATGCGACACAGCTCGTGCATCCCACGCACCCCGACCCCTCCTGCCCCTGCAGAGCCTGGCTGCCATGGGGAGCTGCCGCACATGGGCACCACCGGAGCTGCTGGTGCTGAGCGTGTGGCTGTGGGTGAGCAGCGCCGGCCCCACGCGCCCGCCCGGCCCCGCGCTAAGGGTGCGCCTGGCTGGGTACCCGCGCAAGCACAACGAGGGCCGCGTGGAGCTCTTCTACAACGACGAGTGGGGCACCATCTGCGACGACGACTTCACGCTGGCCAATGCACACGTGCTGTGCCAGCACCTCGGCTTCGTGGCTGCCACCGGCTGGGCCCACAGCGCCAAGTACGGCAAAGGAGTCGGTAAGAGCGGAGCGGTGGGCATGGTTCCCCGTGCTGCACGGGCTGGGGCTGCACATGAGCGGCTGCCACAGGGCTGTGTGTGTGCCACAGGGCTCACATGAGCTGTTGGTGGGGAAGGGCAGGCAGGTCCTGCGTGTGCTGAGTGCCCAGGAGTGTGTGAGTGCATGCATGAGTGCATGTGTAGATGTATGTACACACAAAGCAGGATGGGGAGCTGCGTCTGAGCTGCTGTGCATGTACCCAGGGCACAGGGCGGCTGCAGGCATGCGCTGGAGCTGCAGGGCTGCATATGGTGCTGGGTGGTGCAGAGGGTGCAGGTCCAGGTCTGTGTGGTACAGAGGTACAGCCGTTCCTGCTGCAGGCGAGACACTGTACAGAGCCCAGGGGTGTGCCACGGGGGCTTTGTGTCTGCAGAGCAGCCCCCTGGGGAAGCAGAACCTCCCCATCTGCAGGTCCCCCTCTCAGGGCTTTACTTTGGGCATTTCACCAGCCTCAGCTTCATGCTGAGGGAGCGATGGTCCCAGCCCAGCAGCCCCAAGCAGCCCCCAGCAGCCATGCTCTGCTGTACTCCTTGGCCATGCTCCATGGGCACCCTCCCTGCTCCCGGGGGATGCTGTATGGGCCTGGCCCCCTCACCCCGGCCCTGCTGCCTGGCAGGGCGGATCTGGCTGGACAATGTGAATTGTGCCGGAGGTGAGAAGAGCATCGGGGACTGCAAACACCGGGGCTGGGGCAACAGCGACTGCAGCCATGAGGAAGACGCGGGGGTCATCTGCAAGGACGAGCGCATCCCAGGCTTTAAGGACTCCAATGTCATCGAGGTGAGGAAGCTGCGGGCCAGGACCCTCAGAGCCAGGAGGATGTAGCCTGGGTGTGGGGACGTGGCACAGCTCTGGGCAGGGGATGCCTGGTCTGCTGCCAGGCAAGAGGAGCTGGGGCCGTGTCCCACTGGCTGTGCCCAGGTTCCCGGTTCCCTCTGGGTGGGTGTCTGGGTGTGGGGTGGATGCAGGATCCTGAGGTGAGAGGGCGCTCCCAGGAGGTGATCCCAGGGAGACGTGGGACACTAGCTGCACAGTGTGGGAGCAGGAGCGTGGCCATCCAAGGCCATTGGATGTGCCCTGCAGTGATGCAGTACCTGGCCGTCCCCATTCCCCACCTGGGGCCGGGGACCCCATCTCCTGCGGGTGCGCCCCGGGCAGGGGCTGGGGCGATGGGTGCAGTGCTGACCCGTGCCCTGCAGACGGAGCAGAGCCACGTGGAGGAGGTGCGGCTGCGGGCGGTGGTGGTCGGCGCCCGGCGGCAGCTCCCGGTGACAGAGGGCATTGTGGAGGTGCGCTACAAGGACGGCTGGGCACAGATCTGCGACGAGGGCTGGAGCAGCCACAACAGCCGCGTGGTCTGCGGCATGCTGGGCTTCCCTGCCGAGAAGAAGGTCAACAGGAACTTCTACAAGTGAGTGAGGCTGACAAGGAGCCCGCGGGGCTGGGGGCAGTGCCAGGGACATGGGGCAGTGCTGGGGGACAGCAGGGGCCAGCTGGCCATAGGGGCACTCGCTAACCGAGCTGGGGGCCATGGCTGCCCATCTGCCCATGCACTGCAGCAGAGGCTGCTCCCAGAGGGCAGTGTCTGTGCCCTGGCAGAGCTGCACCTCTGCAGTTCTTCCAGCGTGGAGCATGGGGGTCCATGTCCACAGGGGAGGTTTGCAGTTTAGCTGCGGAGGGATGCTCCAGAACCACCATGGTCTGAGCAAGAGCTACAGGGATATGGGCAAGGACACAGCGCCCATTGTGTTGCCCATTGCAGTGCCCATTCTGGTGCCCAGTGTGGTCCCCATTGTGATGCCCAGCATAGTGTCCAGTGTAGTGCCCATTGTGGTGCCCGTTGTGGTGCCCATTGTAGTGCCAGTTGTGGTGCCCATCGTGGTGCCCATTCTGGTGCCAGTTGTGGTGCCCATGGTTGTGCCCGTTGTGGTGCCCATTATAGTGCCCATTGTAGTGCCCATTGTGGTGCCCGTTGTGGTGCCCATTATAGTGCCCATTGTGGTGCCCGTTGTGGTGCCCATTGTAGTGCCAGTTGTGGTGCCCATTATAGTGCCCGTTGTGGTGCCCATTATAGTGCCAGTTGTGGTGCCCATCATGGTGCCCATTCTGGTGCCCGTTGTGGTGCCCATTATAGTGCCCATTGTAGTGCCCATTGTGGTGCCCATCGTGCTGCCCATCGTGGTGTCCACTGAAGTGCCCATTGTGGTGCCCATCGTGGTGCCCATTGTGGTGCCCGTTGTGGTGCACTGACCAGGCAGCTCCAGAATTGCTCCTGCAGGCGGGTGAAGCGTGCAGCCATGACAAGGGGCCGGAGGCTGAGGCCAGGCAGGAGGTAACGGCTGGGGCACCCCTCTGCCGAGCCCTTGGCAGAGCTGGGCTGTGCGGCCACGCAGGTCCCTGCCGTCGGGACGGATCCTGGCACAAAGGGATCTGGAGGGAGCAGACCGAGGGCTCGGGCAGCGCTGGGCAGGTGCTGTGGTCCCCAGCCCCCAGGAGGGATGATCTGGCTCCCAGGCCAGCTGAGCCCCAGGCTCTGCAGCACCCGCCCCGTGCACCAGGCAGGAGCCCTGGCACAGGGTCAGGATCCTTGGCAGGATCCCTGGAGGTGCAGAGGGCTGCGGGGTCCTGTGTGGGAGGCCTCGGAGCGGAGCTGTTTTTCCCGGCGGATGGGGAGGGCTGTGGACATGGGCTGCCCTCTGCAGAAAGCAGCAGTGGGGAATCTGGAAAGGCCGCACAGCCCCCATTGCTTGCAGGGGGGGCTGGCAGCACTGCTGAGCAAGTGCTGGGCACCAGGGTGATGAGCACCACAGTGCTCACAATACTGGCACCCATGTGGCAGCTCTTGTCCTGGGTGCTCCATCTGCTCGGGTTCTCTTGCACCTTTGCCCATTCCCTCTTCCTGCCTTCCTACCAACCCCAGGGAATAGGCTGGCTGCCCTTTTCCTTCCACCAAGAAACCTGGAGAGGGGCTTGGGACAAGGGCCTGTAGGGACAGGCCAAGGGGAATGGCTTTAAGCTGCCAGAGGGGAGACTGAGCTGAGCTCTTAGGCAGAAGCTCTTCCCTGGGAGGGTGCAGAGCAGCTGTGGCTGCCCCATCCCTGGCAGTGTTCAAGGCCAGGTTGGACACAGGGGCTTGGAGCAAGCTGCTCTAGTGGAAGGTGTCCCTGCCCGTGGCAGGGGTTGGAACTGGAGGAGCTTTAAGGTCCCTTCAACCAAAAACCAGGCTGGGGTTCTATAGTTTGGTGCTGACAGCCCCTTTCCAAGTGAGGAGGTATTTCCCCTGCAGCACTGGGTGCAGTGCTTTGCGAAGTCCATGGAGCTGGGGTCTTCTCCCTTCCTCTGCCTGGAGCAGGAGCTGTCTCCTCAACATCACACCCTGGTTTGCCAGGGCTGGCTGATTTCAGCTGCAGTCATATATGGGGTCACCTGCTAATCCAGGCTGGAAGGGACCTCAGGGAGTCCTGGTCCAACCCCCTGCACAGAGCAGGGATGGCTGAGGGTCAGCCCAGGGCTTCATGCAGATGGCTCTTGAAAACCTCTGGGCTCATAGGGTAAAACCATTCCTTCCACTGATCCTGAGCCTCGGGTTGCACCTCTTTTCTCTCATGCTCTTTGCTCCTCTGACCAGAAGAGCTGGGCTCTGGCTCCATCACAGCCCCTTGCTCCCAGCTCCTGGCTGTTGCTGGAGCTCCTGAGGCCATGTCAGCCCAGGCTGAAGCAGCCCCGTGCCCCTGGCTCCCCGCCGGCCCCGACTGTCTCAGGGGCTCTCCCCAGCGCCTGCACTGCAGGCCTGGTGCCTTGTACTGGGAGCCAGAGCCGGGTGCAGGATCGCACTGTGGTCCCATGGGTGTCAGTGGGGGGTGATGTCCTCCAGCCGACTGCTGAGCCCCATTTCCTGGCAGCCCCGTGCAGTGTCCTAGGGCTCACTGCCACAAACCTGCCACCGGCCAGTGGGGTCAGTTGCCAGCCTTGGGTTTACCGTGTCCTGGGGGTACCAGTCCCTGCCCTCGTTTGGGGTCTGCTCTTTACTCCTCGTGGTGTCAGGGTTTTGGTCCTGCTCAGCTTCTTCCTCTCTGAATGAAGCAAAACATTTGAGTGTGCAGGGACAGCGTGTGGTGCCCTGGGCAGCCTCCTCTCCCTGTAGGGAAGCTCACTCGCTGGCAGAGGGCCCTTGCATGCCTGTCGCAAGTCCCGCCATGTCCTGCACTGGGCAGAGCTAGCTGTGGTTTCAATGCTGCTTGCTCGGTGCTGTGCTTCTGCGCGTGCTGCTCCCCTGGAGCAGGGTGCAGTGACAGTGGCTGGGGTCTGCACGAGGACATGGGACACCTCGCTTGTACCCCACAGATCAGATAGCTGGTGCTGGTGTTTGATCTGCTGTGTCACAAAGCAGCACGGGATGTTGCAGCATCCTGCACAGTTTCCTGGTGGGATGTGGGCAGGAAACTGCATCATTGCTGTGAAGGGCAGTTGTGTCTCGTTTCTGGCAGCAGATGATGCTGCTGCACCTATGTGTGACACAAAGGGGACGCGCATGAGTCTCCCTGGGGGCAGCAGACCCAGTTTCAGTGACAGCCAGGGCCGCGGTGTGCTCCCTGTGTCCCTGCGGAGGTGACAGCCCGGGGCTGCGGGCTCCGTGACGGTTGTGTTCTGTTTTCCAGGCTGGCCTCCAAATCTCAGCCTAAACAAAAGCGCAGGGAGGACGTAGGGTCCAAGAAGAGGTAAATGGCTCCAGCGGGAGCCTGAGTGCCAGGAGCGCCGCTCAGTCCCTCCAGAGCCGAGCGCGTCTCTGGGGATGTGGGGCGGGCGCAGCGCGGGCACAGCGGGACCGCGCCAGGGCCGGGGACAGCTCCGCTGCCGTCCGTCCGCGCCGGTCCAGCCTCAGGGCTGCCCTCTCCCTCCGCAGGCTGTTCGCAGAGCGGCAGCAGCTCATCTACCGGCTGCACTCGGTGTCGTGCGCGGGGACCGAGGGGCACCTCTCCATGTGCGCCTTCGAGTTCTACCGCGGCAACGCGTCCGCCGCCTGCGGCTCGGGCAGCCCCGCCGTCGTCAGCTGCGTGCCCGGCCCGCAGTTCGCCACCGGCAGCTCCCACAAGAAGAAGCAGCGGCAGCAGCAGCAGCAGCAGGGCCAGGTGAGCCCCGTGGAGAGGGGACGGGCACCCACAGCCACCCCCGGCTTGACACTGCCCCACTGCGGGGCCGTGGGTGTGCGGGAACCGTGGGGACCAACCTGTGGAGTAGGGTACGGGGACCGTGTCCTGTCTCTGCACAACACAGGGTCATGGCCAGCAACCTCTGTGCTGCACGGTGCTGTGCCACACTGTGCCGTTCAGCACTGCACCAGCCATGCTGTCCCCTGGGTCCAGAGAAGGGCAACGGAGCTGGTGAAGGGCCTGGAGCACCCGGGTGATGGGGAACGGCTGAGGGACCTGGGGGGGTTCAGTGTGGAGAAGAGAAGGCTCAGGGGGGACCTGATGGCTCCCTACAAGTGCCTGACAGGAGGATGGAGCCAGGAGGGGCTGGGCTCTGCTCCCAAGGAACAAGGGATGGGACAAGAGGAAACGGCCTCAAGCTGCCCCAGGGCAGGTTTAGATGGAGCTGAGGAACAATTCCTGCCCCAGAGGGTGCTCAGGCATTGGAACAGGCTGCCCAGGGCAAGGCTGCGGTCACCGGCCCTCCAAGTGTTCACACCTTGTGGAGACGAGGCCTCAGTGCCATGGGGCAGTGGTGGCCTTGGCAGGGCTGGGAACGGTTGGACTGGATGATCCTGAAGCTCCTTCCCCCCTGGTTGATTCCATGGGTCAATCATGTGATGGCTCCATCCCCTGCAGCCACGGATCCGGCTGAAGGGGGGTGCGAAGGTCGGGGAGGGCCGCGTCGAGGTGCTCAAGGGCAGTGAGTGGGGCACGATCTGTGATGACCGCTGGAACCTGCTGTCAGCCAGCGTGGTGTGCCGCGAGCTGGGCTTCGGCAGCGCCAAGGAGGCCCTCACCGGGGCGCGCATGGGCCAAGGTGAGGTGTGGGCTGCAGGGGCCGGGCGCTGCTCTCACGGTCCTGTGGGTGAGGTGCGTGTCCAGGGACAAGGCTCTGCGGGACTGGGACAGGCCACAGCAGGGCTCGTCCTGCGAGTCCCTGGCTGCCAGCCGCATGCGGAGCATCCCCAGGGACCCGCAGCCTCTCCGTGGCGCTGGAGGGCCGTGGCTGTGCCCGCGGCGCTGTCCCTGAGCCCTGCTGCCCCCCCCCCGGCAGGGACGGGGCCCATCCACATGAATGAGGTGCAGTGCCTGGGCACCGAGAAGTCCCTCTGGAGCTGCCCCTTCAAGAACATCACGCAGGAGGACTGCAAGCACACGGAGGATGTGGCTGTCCGCTGCAATGTCCCCTACATGGGCTACGAGACCCTGGTGAGCACCATGGGGCTGCCAGTGCCCGCAGGGCCCGGGGGCTCTCTGTATTGGTGCTGGGGGGACCCAATGCAGGGTGGCCCGTCCGTCCTCTGGACCCCATGGCACCCTGTGGCACCCCTCACATTACCATAGGTCTGAGGCAAGAGCTGCCCTGGGGGGCTCAGGGGTGGGAGTTCCATGGTGCCCCTGTGAGGAGAGGGATGGAAGGGAGGCCAAGGGGGGGTCAGGATGTGCTGTGGGGTGTGCAGGGTGGTGTGGGGCTGCTGCTCCTGCTGTTCCTGCTGCTCTCCCCGTGCCAGCTCCAACCCAGCAGAGCCACCAGAAAAAATCCCTGTGGGAGAACCAGGAGAGGTTTTTTCAGGTGGTGATGAAACGAGCAGAGGGGGCCAAGGGCTCCATGTGCCCGGCCCTCGTTTCATCCTCTTGGGCTTTTTCATCATTTAACTCTCTTACCTCTGCCATTCTGGAATGCGAATGCCATTCCAAAATGAGCCATTTCCTGCTGCCGTGAGGCGCTTCTGTTCTTGGCCCCAAATCTGACGGTTTTTAGGATTTCTGGGCTGAGCAAAGCTGTGCCCAGCTCCTCTCAGCTCTGGCTGCCACCTCATATGTGCCTAAAGCCCATGAGGGTGCTGCAGCTGCTGGGCTGAGCTGGGCTAGGCTGGGCTCAGCTGGGCTGGGCTGAGCAGAGCAGCAGGAGCATCACTTGTGATGATGATGGTGATGCTGCCCCTGCCTTTCTCTGCAGATTCGGCTGAGCGGGGGCCGAAGCCGCTTCGAGGGGCGGGTGGAGGTGGCTGTGGGGGCTGGCGCCGGGGAGCAGCCGCGCTGGGGGCTGGTCTGCAGCGAAGGCTGGGGTACGCTGGAGGCGATGGTGGCCTGTCGCCAGCTGGGCCTGGGATTCGCTAACCATGGCTTACAAGTAGGTGCCAGAGCCAGCTTGGCCAGGGCAGTGTGCGCCAGCACCACCGATCCGCCGGGATGGGCACAGGGACCAGCATGGGCCGGGATGCACTGGGATGGGGTCGGGTCCCTGCTCACTGCCCCAGGGCTTCCCTGCAGATCCGCCTCTCGGGCGGCAGGACGCCGTTTGAGGGCCGCGTGGAGGTGAAGCGAGGCAGTAAGTGGGGCATGGTGTGCAGCAAGGGCTGGACCACCAAGGAGGCGATGGTGGCCTGTCGCCAGCTCGGTCTGGGCTATTCCCTGCATGCGGTGACGGTAGGTGCCGGCGGGGAGGCCTCAGTGACACCTTGGTGAGCACAGGTACCAGTGCTTCCTGGTGGGGATGTATGGGGACAAAGGGATGTAGCTCCTCCATGACAGGGGATGGGACCTGCATGAGCAGGCTGGGGACATGGGCAGGGCTGTGCCATGGTGGGTGCTGGCTGCAGCCCGGGCATGTGTGAGCCGGGGCACCCACAGCACCAGCCCCTGCCACCCGGCCTCACCCCTCCCCAGGAGACCTGGTACTGGGATGCCAGCAACGTGACGGAGATGGTGCTGAGCGGGGTGAAGTGCGCTGGGCATGAGATGTCCCTGAGCCACTGCCAGCACCACGGCTCCAGCGTCAACTGCAGGAACACGGGCACACGCTTCGCTGCCGGCGTCATCTGCTCCGAGAGTGAGGGGCGGGGGGCTGCGGGCAACAGGCTCTGTGGTGGTGGGGTGGGCAATGGGGTCTGCAGGCAACGGGGTCTGGGGTGGTGGGGTGGGCAATGGGGCCTGGGGGTGATGGTGCAGCGGAGCCCAGAGCTTCAGATGAAGGGTCTGTGAGTCGCAGGGCTGGGGGCAATGGGGTTTGCAGGTGCTGGGGGGGGCTGCAGCTGATGAGGAGGGTGCACTTCCCCCCCCCCCCCCCCCGGCCGGTCCAGCCCTGCCTGCTGTGGGTGCCCGCCCCATCCCTGAGCATCGCCTGCCCGCAGCCGCCTCCGACCTGCTGCTACACGCGCCGCTGGTGCAGGAGACGGCGTACATCGAGGACCGGCCGCTGCACATGCTGTACTGCGCCGCCGAGGAGAGCTGCCTCTCCAGCTCCGCCCGCCTCGCCAACTGGCCCTACGGGCACCGCCGCCTGCTCCGCTTCTCCTCCCAGATCCACAACAACGGCCGCGCCGACTTCCGCCCCAAGGCTGGGCGGCACTCCTGGGTCTGGCACGAGTGCCACCGGTGGGTGCGCGGCGCGGGCAGGGGGTGCCGGTGCTGCTGTGGGGTGGGTGACGGTGACACCGGGCAAGGGTGACAGCCGCCGAGGCCCCTGCTGCTGCCCAGGCTCCAGTTTTGCCTGCTTTGGCTTGGGGCTGACCCTCCACGTGCAGTGCTGGGGCTGGGGGCCGTGTCCTGCAGCTGACACCCCGCTTGCCTGGGCCACCTGCCTGGGGACAGCCACGTCCCCTCCCAGGGCAGGGCCGGTGCAGCCACGGCGCTGTGGGTTCCCTCTTGCAGGCACTACCACAGCATGGACATCTTCACCCACTACGATATCCTCACCCCCAATGGCACCAAGGTGGCAGAGGGGCACAAAGCCAGCTTCTGCCTCGAGGACACTGAGTGCGAGGAAGGTGGGTGCCATGGATGGGGCCTTGAGGCACCATCCCTGCCTGTGTCCCCTGTCCCCAGCCGTTGTGCACGCTGGGGCCATGCGGGCAATGGAGGAGGACAAGCCGTGTTCTCTTCTCCCTGCAGACGTGGCCAAGCGGTACGAGTGTGCCAACTTCGGGGAGCAGGGCATCACGGTGGGCTGCTGGGACCTGTACCGGCACGACATCGACTGCCAGTGGATCGACATCACTGATGTCAAACCGGGCAACTACATCCTGCAGGTGCTGAGCTGCCCCACACCCCAGCTCTGCTCGAGCTGCAGCCACCCCGCTCCCGGAGCGGTTGGAGTGCACAGGGGCTGGTGGGTGTGCGCTGGGGGGGCACTGCCTGTCCCTGTGCATGGAGACGAGGAGGTGCGGAAGCTGCTCAGGCTCTCTTCAGCCTGCACGCTCCTGCTCTGAGCAACCTTCATGGGTACGTGGTGCTCAGTGACAGCCACCACAGCGCATCCCGCTGCAGCAGGAGGCGAACCCTGCCGGGACCGGGGGGCTGGGAATGCCGAGCTGATGAGGTGTGGGGCTGCAGCACCTCCCGATGTGGGGCAGGGGGCTGCCGCCCTCACTGTTGGTGCCCCACAGGTTGTGATCAACCCCAACTTCGAAGTGGCAGAGAGCGACTTCACCAACAATGCCATGAAATGCAACTGCAAGTACGACGGGCACCGCATCTGGGTGCACAGCTGCCACATCGGTAACGGCCAGCACGCAGCATGGGGGGCCAGGGCACATGGGAGCAGGGGGGACTGGGCAGGGAGGCCCCAAGGCAGCGAGGAGGCTGTTGGGCTCTGGGTGGCTGCCGTGGGAGCTGACAGCTCCTGCCCCCTCCTGCAGGTGATGCACTCAGTGAGGAGGCCAACAAGCGCTTCGAGCAGTACCCGGGGCAGCTCAACAACCAGATCTCGTAGGGCCCAGCCCGGGAGACACCGCGGGGAGCCCCGGGGGGGGAAACCTCCTGCCCTCAGCCTGCACCCGGGGGAGATGCTGCTGGGGCCTCCGGGGCCTCAGCCCAGCATCGCAGCCACTGGGCTCTGCGAGGCTGCCAGGACCTGCAGGCACCCACCCGGCATCGCAGCCACCACCCAACCACTGCCCAGAGACTGTGCCCACATCCCCTGGGCCGTGGCACATGGGCACAGAGGTCCCGAACCCCACCGTGTCCCCCCCAGCTCCCTGTCACTGCAGCTGCACCTCCCTGCTCCCCCTCAGCCCCGGCTCCTCCCCAGGACCCAGCAGGGACCTGCAGCCCTGCACGGCCCCAGGAGCCCCTCCTGGTGTGGCTGCCCCTGCCCCACGGCCCCTTGCCGTGGTGTGGCTGCCCCTGCCCCACGGTCGCAGCGGCTCCCACACCCCTCTTAGCTGTAACTTTATTTTCTCTATAAAGTTGTCAGTTGTTCCCAGTGGCTCCCGGCTCTTCCTGGGCGGGGATGAGGAGCCTGGCAGGACCGGGAGGCTCAGCACGGCGTAGGGCTGGCTGGCACAGCACACCCCATGAGAGCTGCCAGTACCCATATGGAGCAAGGATCCCCCTTGCCCACACAGCCCTGGCTGGGCAAGGACCAGCCCCACACCAGCACCGGTACTGGCAGCTGCTGGGATACAAGGAGATGGTACCAGGCCTGCTGGAAGAAGCCTGTGTGGGTGAGGAGGAGACCAGCAGGACCTTAACTTCAGCTGCCCCAGCCTGAAGCAGCCCCCACGGCTCTGGGGGGAGCAGCCGGAGCCACCCTGGCGCAGCAGGGCGGCGGTGAAGTGCTGGTTTCGCCCCACATGCAGTCCAAATGCTCGTGAGCAGAAGTCCCGCCGGGGGCTGTGATCCATGAGGAATGCAGCCGGCGCTGGCTCCAGGCAGCGGGAAGCTGCGGTCGCTGCTGCCGTGGCCGCGCTGCCAGGAACGCGGCGGCTCCTCTTCCCCGGCGCGCAGCGGCGAGAGCCCGACGGGGAGCCCGGTCCTGTGCCCGGGCCGCTCTGAGCTGCCGCCCGCTCCCCAGGGCAGCAGCACCAAGGAGCTGCGCTGCTTTCATCTACAAACACCAGGCTGGGCGAGGGAGCCCCGGCCCGCGCTGCTCCTGGCTCCACACGCGCATTCCTCCCGCCAGAACCGGGCTGGACGCGGCTCCTCACGGCGGGAGCGGAGCAGGGGCTGTTCCAGGAACGCGGGGAACAGCCGGAGCTGCCCCTTCCCGGAAGGGCTCTCGGCCTCCAGCCGCAGAGCACAGGGAGACCTCGGCTGTCCCCAGGGGCCGGGCTGCACGTGCGGGGAGCTGAGCAGCCGCACAGACCCACACCGGGCTGTGGGAGGGACAGACAGGGACAGGCTCCCAGCCTCAGCCCTCCTGCACCCCAGCCAGCGAGGAACTGCCCAGACACTGCAGGGTCCAGCACCCAAACCCCCCCTCTCACCATGGCTTTAACCTGCCCGAGGGGAGACTGAGATGAGCTCTTAGGCAGAAGCTCTTCCCTGGGAGGGTGCTGAGGCCCTGGCACAGGGTGCCCAGAGCAGCTGTAGCTGCCCCATCCCTGGCAGTGCTCAAGGCCAGGTTGGACACAGGGGCTTGGAGCAAGCTGCTCCAGTGGAAGGGGTCCCTGCCCGTGGCAGGGTTGGAACTAGAGGGGCTTTAAGGTCCCTTCAAACCAAACCATTCCAGGATTCCATGTGACAGGAAGGGCAGAATCCTCCACAGCCCAGCCTCCCACAGGCAATGCTGTGGGCAGGAGACCCCACAGCATTGGGGGGTCCCTATAAAAGTGCTTTATTTGAGTACAGAGGGAAGGGCTGCTCCATGAGTCCACCCCAGCACCGGGCCGGGCGCCCTCCAGTCCCCACAAGGTCTCAGCGTGTCCGTGCGCAGCTCATGGACACGGCTCAGTCCTGCACGTCCTGCCCCACACAGCAGCTCCGCTACTCGGTGGCCTCGGGGATGACGCTCAGCAGCAGCGTGTCGTGGCCGCGCCGCAGCAGCAGGGTCAGGCTCTGCTGTGTCCGCACCGCCTCATACACGTCCTCGGCGCGGCGTGACGCCTGCCCGTTGATCTCCAGCACCACGTCACCTGCCTTCACCCCGGCCCTGCGGCACAGTGACACAAGCACACGGTGGGTGAAGCAGGCGCTTCCCAGGAGCAAAGAGCACTGGGCACCACGAGGAGGCTTGTACCTGAGCCAGTGGGACACCAAACCGGGGCAAGGGCCACCAGTTGGTTTCTGCTGCACATCAGCCCCAAGTCCTGCTGCCCTGGAGCAAACCAGAGCTAAATACATCCCACCCCACATAGCTGCTCCCTCAGGCCACCCCCAAGGTACAGGGCGCTTACTGATGGGCTGGAGAGCCGATGATCACCTTGTGGATTAGCACTCCATAGGAGACGTCGGGGAAGCTGGGGTCCCGCAGCTTCAGCTCAGCCAGGATGCTGCAGGGGGAAAGTCAGTATCAGGAAAGGAGCTGGGCGGCAGAGCAGGGCTCTCACCCCACCCCAGCTACACAGGACCTCTCCTCCTGCCTCCCTGACATTGCCAAGCACAAGCACACAGCTGCAACCCCCACGAGCACCCCAACACCATCATCCTGCCAAAACCCAGAGGACAAAGTGCTGACTGTGCCCGGGAGGGATGGAGCTAATAGAGCAGCTGCCAGCCGGGTCACATACACGTCCCTGTCTAAGCAGCCCCAGGTCAGGTGCCCTCCTTGGTGTCAGATCCATTCTGCCGCTGCAGTTCCACTGCTCTGCTTTTGGGGGCAGGACAAGAACAAAAGCTGGGGCCCTGCTGTTGCCAGAGGTGTCAAGCAGAGGTAAACCTGCTCCTCTCCTCCAGAGCCTACAGACTGAACACCCCCGGTTCCTCCTACCCCCCCAGTGCTGGCTTAAATTGTGCACCCCTCCCTGCTCCTCACACTGTGCTGTGCAAGCTGCACCCCCCTTTCCGATGTCACAGGATCACAGCAAGGCTGGGGTGGGAAATGAACCTCTGGGAATCACCCTCCCCAGGCCCTGCTCAAGCCAGCTCAGCCCAGGACTGTGTCCAGGGAAGCTTTGGGCATCTGCAGCGTTGGTGACGCTCTGACCTCTCTAGGTGCCTGTGCCAGGCTTCTGCCACTGTCCCCACAGTGACAAAGTGGCTCCTTGTGCTCAGATGTAGTCCCATGTGTTCCAGTTTGTGCCCCCTGCTCTGGTCCCGGCTCTGGGCACTCACAGAACAACCACGCCACGTGTTCTGCTCCATAACTGAGTCATTCCGCCCCCACCTCAGGAGCTCCACGTGTCCTCGGGCAGGCCTCTGACAACGGTCCATGTGCGCCAGGCCGCAGCTGGGCTCCCACATGCCAGAGGCTCTGCCGAGTACCAGCACCATCTACTGGGCACCGGCCGAGCATCCAGCAATGCGGAGCGTTCCCCAGCCACCACTGCCTCCGTCTCACAGCGACCCTCTCCTCCGCTGGTGTGGCAGGCAGGACCCCAGCCCCTGCTCGTGGTGCCCAGAGCTGCAGGCAGGACCCCAGCCCCTGCTCGTGGTGCCCAGAGCTGCAGGCAGGACCCCAGCCCCTGCTCGTGGTGCCCAGAGCTGTAGGCAGCCCTTCCCAAACCAACCAACACACCAAAGCCACCGGAGCTTTGGGAAGGGCAGAGCGCAGCCCTCAGAGGTGCTCCTGCCCAGCATGCTACAACCACCAAGCCAAGGCGCATGCTAAGCCCCAGGTAAAGGTCTCTCAAGAGCTGGCTGCAGAAGCCAAGGAACCAGAGCGGGCACCTCTGTCCTTGGGAGGGGGAGCTGCTCCCAGGAGAGCTCCCAACACGTGCTCCTCATGCATCCCTGGTGCTGCCGTCAGCATTCAGGTGAATGCTGCTGCAGCAGCTCCCTCCTGTCCCACAACCCTGAGCAGAGCTCCAGGCAGGGCTGTCATCAGCAGGGCTCAGCTCCCACTGCCTGCAGGGCACCTCTCAGGGTGTTTGGCCACAGGCATGTCTTGGGCACCCACTGAAGCAAGGGGTGATCCTTCTCTCTGCCCAAGCAGGCTGTTTGTCTGCAGCCCTCTGCTGACCAGAACGCTCCTTGAGATGCAGCAGTAATACAGGACCCTCCCCAAGCCACAGCCAGGAGCGTGAAGAGTCTCAGACCCACAAGAAGTTATCCCCTTCCCACCTGCCAGGGCTGTACCGGTTAACACCACGATGTGCTCCTTCCAGAGGCAGCACCCAGGAGCCTCCTATCACACCAGCAGCAGCCACGCTGTGTGTGCTCACAGAGCTGCTCTCCTGCCTTCCTCCCGCTCCCCCAGCTGCCCCTCCTGCAACCACAGTGGTCAGGGCTCACTCCGGAAGCCCCATGTTACAGAAGTGCTTCTGCACCACAATCCCCAGCAGACCCCCCCTCACCAAGGGTACCGCTTGCCCAACTCTGATCACAATGTTCCGCTGCCCCTCGTGTGTCTGTTACACAACGTTTCTGGTGGTTTCACCTTCCTGCTGTGCTGCAAAGGGCCCTGATCCAACTCCTCTGAGTCACAACTACCCTGGAGGGAGTTACAGCTTCTGCCACACATGTAGAAACCTGCAAGCTTCTCATTGACCCCTGACACAGCCTTGGAGCCTACACACAACATGAGCACAGAGATCTCAGCGTGAATGCTTCAGCCCTCCCCACACCAGGCACTCCCAGTTTGGAAGATCCCATCACAGTCACCATGCCCCACAACAAGAGCAGCCTTAGAACACGCACCTGGGTGTAAGAGTCAGCATCATCACCCCAATGTAGCGGCGCTTTGTCTCTGTGCTGCCAAACCAAGAGCCTGTCAAAGGAAATGACATGGAATGACCCACATGCACTGGGAGCAGTGCTGGGCTGTCATAGAGCCCACACACCCCACAGCAGACAGCGGCTGTGGGGTCATTCTGATGCCCAACTAACACCTGATCTAAGCTGCATTCACCAGGTGGAGTTTCACATTACTGCAACTGTGCTGCTTTGAGCTGTTGGCTTTTGGACTGAGAATACCCCTTCAGTGTCAGCATGAGAACCCCTGCACAGTGTCAGCATGTCAGACGGCATCCCAGAGCAGCAAAGCCAGGCAACATTTGACACCACTGACATAACTGCCTGTCCTTTCCAATACAGCTGAATCTGGCGCCTGCATTTCCATCAGCACACACAAGGCAATGGAAGAGGCAAAGGGAGGTTCGTGCCAGGTGGGAGAATCTTCTTACCTGCAATGCTCTGCTTGCTCTGCTCAGAGGTGGTGCCTGGAGCCCAGCGGTCCCAGAGCTTCCCTCTTCCCTCCCCCAGGACCCAAGCATGAGGCTCCCCACTCACTTTTGCGGTGCTCCTCCTTTTGCAGGAACTTCCGCAGCCGGTCAGAGGGGATGGCAAAGGAGATGCCTGATGTCACCTTCATGGTGTTCACCCCAATCACTTCACCGTCCTGCAGGGGAGCAGGCACTGCGCTATCCCACTGCATCCTCGTGGAGAGGGCAACCACTGTGCAAGCCTGGAGTGCTGCATGTGTGCCCACCCCCTCCCTGCCTCCTGCTTCTGCAGCCTGCCTGGCCCTGCCAAGCTGAGCAGAGACCAGTCCTGAAGCTGCAGCCAGCACGGCCCTTCCCTGAGCCCTGCCAGCAACAACCAAGCCGCATGCACCAGGCAGGGCTCAGCTGTGCCACAAAGTCCCATGGACTCAGGCTCCCTCAAACAGGCACTGCACAGGGCTGAGCCCCGGCTCCTCCTCTCAAGGAGCCTGATGCATGCACAGTCCCCCCCTCCCAGCAGCTGCAGCACCCACACATGCACCCACCAAGGCAGAGGGCACCCGGCACCACTGCCCCAGCCACGGCTGCCCCAGGAACTTACCAAGTTGACGAGGGGGCCCCCGGAGTTCCCAAACTGCAGCAGAGGAGAGAGCAGTAAAGAGGCCATAAAGCAACGTCCTCACACAGCAGGACCCAAGGCAGGGAGGCAGCGTCCAAAGAGCGGGGTCAGGCTGAGGAACGCAGCCAAGGCCTGGGTGACCGGCCAGAATCCCTGCATCTCCCAGTGCTCCCAGCTTCCTCTGACCTCATGGCACCCACAGCCCTTCCCCAGCTCCCCCCTCCCCAAAGAGGGCAGCAGGATGAGGTGCCAACCCTCCGAGCTCCCCTTACATCGATGGCAGCGTCGGTCTGGATGTATTCCATGTCGGAGGCGGCAAGGCCCAGCTCCCGGCTGCCCCGCTGCGCAGAGCTGACGATGCCGGAGGTGATGGTGTTCTGCAGGGCGAAGGGGCTGCCCATGGCCACCACGAACTCTCCCTGCCGCACCTCGGAGGAGCGCCCAAGGGGCAGCGTGGGCAGCGGGTGCTGCAAGAGAGGAGGGCGGTGAGCGGGTGGGAGGGACGGAGGGAGCATCTCCAGAAGCAGGATGCGCACCTTCGGCTTGATCTTGATGGTAGCGATGTCTGCGACCTGGTCAACGTCCTGCACCACGGCATCGTACTGCTCCCCGCTGGCCAGCTTCACCCGCACGCGCCGCCGGTTCGCCACCACGTGAGCGTTGGTCACAATGAGCCCGTCCGGAGACACCAGGAAGCCAGAGCCATTGGAGATGGGCACCTCGCGGCCCGAAAAGGGATGCCTGCAAGGTGGGAGCAGGTCAGGGAGGGGTGGCAGGGACCCTGAGGTGACTGGTGGGGACTACAGGGAGGGCACACAGGGGCCAGGCTGGGAGGCAGTGGGGGATAGTGAGGATGCCTGGGCTACAGCGTGACGGGAGCAACTCCTTCATTCCCCATGTGGAGAGTGAACAACCAGGCACGCAACTGGGGAGCAAGCAGGAAGAATGAGAAGTCCACGCACAAATGGAAAGGTGCAATCCCACTGGGAAGCATGGTGGGAAGCTAACAAGAGCAGAGCTCTTGTGGACTCTTTGGGAAAGGGTAGCAGGAGGTAGGTAGGAGGGGTTGTGATCTGCACAAAGAAGTAGCCTGAACACACAGAACCTTGCCCTGGAGCAGGTAACAACCACCTGGGAGGTGATGAATACATGTTCTGTAGGTAGCCAGAGGAAGGCTCAGAACTGCAGATTCTGGTCCCCATGGGAGACAACAATCACCCTGACCTCTGTGGGTGACCCCAGCCTGGCGCTGAGCTTGATCTCTTCAACCTAAACCCATCTGTGACTATGAAAAGCGAAGTCATGCTCCCGAGAAAGGGATCCTGTGCCACGGGACAGCCTGGAGCCGCTGCCGAGAGGCAGCTTTGCTCACACGGCCCTGTAGGACTCAAGGGCGGCAGCTCAGGGGCACCGCGTCCCTGCAGCAGAGGACACGTGCTGAGGCTGCCTGTGCAGGCAGCGGGCAGAGGGGACGGAGAGGTCCCTCCCGGGCCACTTGTGAGATCCCACCCGCGCCATGCCCGGTTCCGGCTGCAAGGGATACCAGGCAGGGAGGCCGCGGGCGGGGCTGGGGTACGGGCTGCTCCGTGCGGGGAGCCGGGAGCGGGGCTGTGCCGGCGGGGCACGGTGAGGACCGGCCGGAGCCTCCCCGAAGGGGCAGGACCGGGACAGGATCAAGAGGGACCCCCCGCGGGGACCGGGCTGCGCGGGGACGAGCCGGTACCTGCCCATGATCTCCACATAGACCAGCGCGGGCGCCGTCTTCTCCACCACGTCAGCGATGAAGTTGAAGGCGGCGCGGGGCGAGGCGGGCGGCGGCGCGGGCACGGCGGCGCGCAGCGCGGGCAGAGCGGGCCGGTGCCCCTCGCCCTGCCGGGCCCACAGCAGCAGCAGCGCCGCCGTCCCGGCACCCAGCGCCGCCGCCAGCGCCCGGCCCCCGGCGGAGGAGTTGGGGGGCGGAGGTGAGGGGGAGGGAGGCGGCGGGAGCGGGGGGACGGCGGCGGCCCCGCACAGCGCCCGGTACCACCGCTCCGCCCCCGGCCGCAGCGCGGCCCGCGCCCACCGCGCCAGCGCCGCCATGCTGCTGCGGGGCTCACGTGCCGCCCTGCCGCAGGGCACGCCGGGACGTGTAGTCCCGAGGCGGAAGGATGACGGACGCGGCAGCGGCGCCGCGGGGCACGCTGGCAGCTGTAGTCACGCAGCGCCAGGAGCCGTTGGTGGCGGAAGGCAGAGAGCAGCTCAGCAGGGTTAATGGGCTCATCGGGCTCACCGGGTCCACCGGTTGCTCCCCCCCCGCGCCGAAGGGGCTCGGTGACAGAGAGAGGCACCGGGGTGCGGCGCGGTGCACGCCGGGAAGGCGCCGCGGCTCCCAAGCTGCCCCGCGCGGGCAGGCGGGCGGCCGCGGGGGAAGATGGCGGCGGGTGTGGAGCGCCCCTGAGGTACCGGCTGCGGCGGGGATGGAGCCTCCCTCGGCGCCGGGCCCCGAGCGGCTCTTCGACTCGCACCGGTGAGAGCCCCGGCGGCCCCTCGCTGCCTCGCGGGGAGCTCGGCGGGGAGAGGCCCGCGTGGGAAGGCGGCGTGTCCGGGGGGGGGCGAGGCCCGCTGCGGAGGGGGTGTCCTAAGGGAACCCTGTGGGGAGGACCGGGATGTCCCGGGAGGGGCGGGTGGCGCAGCGCGGCCCCGTCCCGCCGCGCTCAGGCCGCTCCGCTGCTTTTGGCACCGCAGGTTTCCGAGCGATGGGTTCCTGCTCCTGGCCCTGCTGCTCTACGCGCCCGTGGGGCTCTGCCTGCTCGTCCTACGTCTTTTCATCGGCGTGCACGTCTTCCTGGTCAGCTGCGCCCTGCCCGACAGCGTCCTGCGGCGGTGCGTGCGGCTCGGCGGGCGGCGGGGGCTGCTGGAGGGGCGGGGGTTGCCCTCGCCCGGGAGGAGGGGTCCTGAGCCGCGGGGCTTGGCTCGTGCAGAGGTTCACAAGGAGCTTTTGGAACTGCTCCCAGACCCATGAAGGCACCTTCTCTGCCAAGACCAGAGCAGGAGGCTGCCTCTTGAGTGCCCAAGGATTGATCCAGAGCACTTGGATCAGTGCAGATCCTGTGGTGGTTGCTGCCCCTGTTCCATGCTGCAGCAGCAGCTCTGCAGGCAGCCTGCAGCCCCTGCTCTTACCCCAGCAGTTCCCATCCCAGATGCCTGTTCCCTCATGCCCCCTTTGAACCAGTGTCCTTTGTCCAGTCACATGGATTCCCAGGTCTCCTCTGTTTGCTGGATGTGCAGCCAGTGATGGCTCAGGCCCCAGGATGTGAGGAAGCTGCTTCCCCCCAGGTTCATCGTGCGGGTGATGTGCTCGGTGCTGGGACTGTGCGTGCAGCAGAGCGACCCCCGGCTGCGTGACGCCGGCGTCAGGGTCTACATCGCCAACCACGTCACGCAGTTCGACCACAACGTCATCAACCTCCTCACCTCCTGCAACACGGTGAGCGGCTGGCGGGAGCCTCCCTGGGGTCCGGAGGGTTCCTTCTCCTGGAGAAGGGCACAGAGAGCCCTGTCAGAACCCAGGTGTTGCCCTGGTCTCCTTCGGTTCTCATTTATCAATCCACAAGCCTGGAGTTCTTTGTGGTTCAGTGTCACGCTCTTGGGCATTGCATAAAAACTGGAGCAGGGTGAGGAGGAGCAGGAAGTGTTAGAATGGGTATTGATTTTATTGAAAGAGACTGGCAGATCCCAGCAGCTGCATCTCTTTTGGGTAGGTGCTCTCAGAAGCAGGGCTGGATGTGAGGCTATTCCCCCAGCACTGGGTTTCCCCCTCACTGGCTGTGAGTGGAGCTGTGTGGTGGGGTGGTGGTGCTGGGGTTCTGCTGGGCTGCTGGTTGTGTAACTCCCTCTGCTCTTGTGAAATCCCCTAAGTGTGGCATTCCTGAGTCAGCTGGCTCTAAACGTGCCTGTGAGTGAGTTGGTAGGTCCTATATCCTGAACAGCAGTGGATTTGCTCCTTACCTGGAGAAAAGTAATTCTTGGGAGTAGCGTGTCCTTTGCCAAGTGTGTCAGGAACCTCTAGAGAGAGCACTGGGAAACACGGTTGTTGCCCAGGGCAGGGTGAGTTTGTTTCTCTGGCAGACAAGGTACAGCCTGAACTGTAGATCAGGAATCAAACACCTGAGGACTTGGGGCCGGGCAGTAACGTGCTCTCTGCTGTAGTGCCTTTAGCCAGCAGGCTGTTCCCTTGCCCCAAGAGGGGTCTCTGCTGATAAGCAGGAGCGTTGTTTCCTGTTGTCTGGTGGGAAGTAGCGCCTGGGGGGAGGACATGACAGGACAGGGTTCCTCTGACTCTTGTTTTCCCTTGCAGCCTGCCCTGAACAGTGCCCCTGGTTTCATCTGCTGGTCACGAGGGTTCATGGAGCTAGGAGTGAGCGGGAGCCGAGCAGAGCTGGTGGATTCCTTGAAGGCATATTCATCCCACAGAGGGAACCCCCCGCTGCTGCTGTTCCCAGAGGAGGCAGCCACCAACGGGCGGGCTGGGCTGCTCCACTTCAGGTACCGGAGCAGCCGCTGCTGTGACACAGAGTGCTTGGGTTTGGCTTTGGGGTCATTCCCTGTGGAATTCCTCCTTTCCAGCTCCTGGCCGTTCTCAGTGTCGGACGTAGTGCAGCCTGTCGCCCTGCAGGTGCTGAGGCCTTTGGTCACTGTGGTGAGTGGGGGCACAGGGCAGGGGGGCTGTGCAAGCTGGGCTCTGTGATGGTGCCGTTAATCCTGCTTTGAAGCCTGTGGGAGATGCAGCCTGGCCTCGTGTCCTCTTACCCAGGGACTGGCTCCTCAGTGCTAACGCTCTTTTCCCAGTGCCTTTCCCAGGAAACTTGCACCAAGTCCATACTCTTGTAGTCACACTGGCAGGTTTGTGAGGTGCTTTAGTGGCTCAGCTGCCTAGCAGTGTGCTATCTGGGTTCTGGGACCGCAGCATCCTTGTGTCATGTCTCCTCTTTGTGAGCTCCCTGCTGTTAAAGTCTCTTGACAGAGTAGCTCCAGTCACCTTGGAGAATGGCTGATGTGCCAAAGGTTGGCCACGCTCTCTGGGTACATTCTTGAACTCCCAAGTGCAGACATGAGCATGATGCAACATCAGCTTCAGAGAAGTGGCAAAGTTCATGCTGCTGATGCTGGTGCTGCTGAACAGGCTGCAGTAAACTGTTCTTAGCTTGCATACAGAGGGAGATCTTGTTGCATTTCTGATTGTGTGTTTTATGAATCTACTTGGTTAAAAGATACATTTTACATTTGTCTGACGTTTAGTTGGTTCTCTATTGTCCATCTGCTTAAGGCAGTAGATGGACTTTGGATAAGGCACAGTGGATGGATTTAGAGGTATTGCAAGGATTTTTCAAGGGAGGCTCTTGACGGGGATTAGTTCTTTGCCAGTGTCATTTAGTGCTTCCACTGGCTGCAGGGGACAGCGCTGAGACCTCTGCTGCTGAGGTTCAGGGTGGGGGATGATGAGGAAGTTGTATCACTGATCCAGGGAGCCACCAGCAGCAGCAGGTGCGTGGCAGGGACCTGTGGTGTGAGTGCTGTGTGGTGCACAACGGTGCTGGGTGTGATGGTGAGAGCTGGGAACACGCTCTGCAGAGCCCTGGCAGCCCTGCAGCCAAGAAAGTGGGGCAGTAGTAGAGGGAGTTCAAGGAGGCCACAAGCATGAGGCAGGATCCAGATAGCAACTCAGCAGGATCAGCTCAGCAAAGGTGGTGCTGTGGGTGGCTGCCTGCACTCCGGAGAAAGGGTGCAGGAGTGGAGGGGTGTTAGCTGTGGGTGACAGCACACAGCAGCAGGCTCTGCACGTGCTCAGGCTAAATGCTGCTTCTGTTCAAGTTCAGTGGTGGGTTAAGATGCAGTTTTCTAACAGTGAGGACCCTACATTTTTGAATGACTAATCAAGAGGAGTGGGAGAGTTCTGGTCTGGACTGCTGATGGGGAACATCTTACCTGTCCTTTGGCTCTGGCTTCTCCAAGGAATTGTGTGAGATGTGATAGGTTGTCTGTGCATCCCTTCCTTCATGAATGCTGGGGAGAACAGCATGCACATGGCTGCAGATGTGTTTGAAGACACTGGTTATAGCTTGGCTCGGATTGCTGCCTCCAGAGGTTGAGCAGGGCTTTCTGCCCTAATTCATCCTGGTGGATTCCTTATGCAATTATAAACCGTCAGAAACTTGTGAAGACTGGGCTGGAGATGCAGCACTTTGAATGGCTCAGTCGGTGCCTTGCAGAAAGCTTTCTTAGGTACTTGTGTGACACATTGAGCTGAGCGAAGCACCGAGCTTGGAGTTCAGGAAGTTTGCCCAGCTTTGGTCACCTGGAGCCTTGGAGGAGGCATTGTTCTGTGGCACACATGGCCTGGGTTCAGCTGTGACAGCTTCCTTCTTCCTGGTACCTGGTGCAGTGCTGGGCTTGGAGCTCAGGCTGGAACACTGCTGGTAACACACGGGTGGTTTAGTTGTTGCTGGGGATCAGTCAGCTGGTGCTGAGCAATTGGGTTGGGCATCACTTGTGTTTATTCTTACTTTTGCCTTCCTTTCTTAGCTTTATATTCTCTCCCCTTGTTATTTCCCATAGTAGTAGTGGTAGTTTTGCGTTACACTTTAGTTATTGAGCTGTTCCGAACTCAACCCCTGGGGTTCACATTCCTTCCATCCTCCTTCCATCCTGCCCAGCTGCTGGTGCTGAGCTACTGCCCAGGGTTCAGCCATGACAGGAAGGCAGTGGAGCTTGAGTGTGGCTATGGTTATTACTGTGAGGATTTGGCTGTAGGTTTCTGAGATCTGTCCATCTGGGAGATGAGACTTCTTTATAAAGTCACCTGCAGTGGTTGTGGTTTCTGGGCTTTCCTCCTTACAGCACCTCTCACCAGGCTGTGGAATAAACCAGGCCTGGGGCCTGTCTTGGACTCGTAGAACTGTTTGGCTGGAAAATACCTTTATGCTTAGTCCACCCATTACCCCAGGACTGCCACGTCCACTGCTGAACCATGTCCTCAAGGGCCTCGTGTACACATCATTTGAATCCCTCCACCACTGCCCTGGGCAGCCTGTTCCAGTGCTGGATGAGCCTTTCAGGAGGGAGTGGTTCCTAATCTCCATCTAAATCTCCCTTGGTGCATATTGAGGCCGTTGCCTCTGGTCCCATCCCTTGTTCCTTGGGAGCAGAGACCCACCAGCATCCCGATGGAGCCCTGCCCAGCTCCTGTTTTGTGGATGCAGCCTCATTGTGCTCTCTTCCCCAGAGTGTGGCTGACTCCTCCTGGATTGCAGAGCTGCTCTGGACCTTCTTTGTCCCCTTCACAGTATATCAAGTAAGGTACTATCCCTCTCTCTTTCATTTGGGGCAGGGCATGGGGTGGACAGAGCTTGTGATAGTGGGAGATTTTCTGGTACTGCTGGTGCACCCCTCACTGTGGTTTCAGCATGGCTTTGCTTACTGTTACTTGGTCCATGCCAGGTCCAGTTGCTGGCCCAGCTTCTGAAGCAAAGTGGGCCTGGTTCCTGTATTGAGTTGGGGAAGGAGAGGAGTCTCCCAGGGCTTTTATGTCAAATACGCTGGGTATAATTTTGAAGCTGGCTGCTCCGCTGTAACTCACCCCAGGGTTCCTCAGGTCCCATGGGTAATTCCCTGCAGTCCCTTGTGGATTGCAGAGGGGGTTTGAACACCTCTCTGGGGCCCTGGTGAGCCCAGACAGGCTGAGAGCTTTGGTGTGATAAGGGTTCATAGGCAGCAGAAGGAGTCACATTCAAGAGTCCTGCTGATCTGTTTTCTACTTGCATGTAAGTGGCAGTGGCTCCTCATCTGGGGCCTTTCTGGGAACTTCATTAGGACATACTTGGCATGTTACACTTGAGCGCTAACAGATTCAATGAGCAGCTTTGTTTTCCAAACCGTGTCTTTCCCTAAACTCTGCAGCTTATGTTGAGGTTTCACACTCAGCTTCTGTGGGGGTTTCACACTCACCAGATGGGGAGAGGCTTGGGGCGAGCTGCGGTGGGGCTGCAGGGGTGGTCCCCCCCCCACAGCCAGCCCGGTGCTGTTGTCCGCTTTAGGTGGCTGCCGTCCGTCCCCCGGCGCGTGGAGGAGCCGAGCGAGGACTTTGCACTGCGGGTACAGGAGGTAGGATGGAGCAGTGCCCACCGGAGAGGGTGGGCGCAGAGCTGCAGGGGGTGTTCCTGGGTGGGTCCATTTGGGTGATGGGAGCTCTGGCCCCAGTTTATTGCCCCTTCCAATGACATGGTTTTTCCATGGTCTGTTCGCTGCCCCCTTCCTTCCTGTCTGTTCGCAAGGCTCTGCCCATCGAGTTCAGACCTTTCGCTCCCTTTCCATAATCCCACAAGTCAAACAAAGCAGTTGGTTCTCCACCTTTCCCTTATGTGCTGGGTGCCTCATAGCTCCTGTACCAAGGATCTTGTATCTCCCTGTCAGCCTATTTTGGCAGGATGATATTGACAGCTCCTGGTCCTTTATGCACTCCATGCAGGCTCTGGAGAAATCAGTTCCCAGTCCTCTTGCCCTCGCTGTGGCTCCATTCAGGCCTGTACATGTGCTGCACTCCCCTGCAAGCTGGGAATGCTGGGGTCATATGTGTTGTGTGTCATGTACATGTGCCTCTTCTCTGCATCTGTGCAGCTCTTGGCCATGGAGCTGGGTGTGGTATCCACACGGCTCACTGCAGCAGACAGAACCGAGCACATGAAGAGGCTGAGACACACATCGCTGTTCCCCTTTGCCCCAGGTGGGTGTCCTGGGTCATGTCCTCACCAGGGAACTGCCACTTGGGCTCTGCCATCGGAGAGGCCTCAGGCTGTTCTTGGCTGCTCGTGCATGGAGAGAGAGGAGGAGGCGTGTTTGGGAGCAGGGGCTATGGGTGTTCTCTGGGCTGAAGTTGGAGTTGGCTGCCAGGGCGAGCACTGCCACTCCTGCGCACAGACGTGGTGGTTGTGTGGAGGACGTCCAGCTTGCTTACCGTGGCAGCTTGTACTAGAGCAAGTGGAGCTGTAGCAGCTCAGAGGCCATGCTGTTGTTGCAGCCTCGAGCCAGGCGCTGGCAGCGCGGCGCCGGGTGCCGTCCGGCCTGGCTGGAGCTCCTGAGGATGGGCGCATCGCGGCGATGGCGCAGCAGGTCAAGGAGGTGCTGCCTCACGTGCCTCTGGAGGTCATCAGGATAGACCTGGGTAAGCCGTGCCTGCTATTAGGAGGGACACAGCATCACCTTCCACACTGTGATACCTGAGAGCAGAAACCTTGTCCCTGCTGTGCTGTAGAGCACAAAGGCAGCAAGGGTGTGAGTGTCCCAGTATGGCAGCTCCCTGTAACAGATCTTCCTTGTTCCTACAGCCCAAACCAACTGTGTGGACACCACCATTGCCAACTTGCTGGAGGGGAGAATATCCTTCTTCCCTGACAGTAAGGAGGCTGGTACTGACCTGCCCGCCCCAGCTACCTCCCAGGCTCCAGCTGCTTCTGGCATCCAGGGCTCCGCAGCTGAGCCTTCTTCCAAGGTACTTTTGGTGGTTGCATTGTCTCTTCTGGTGTGATGGCTCATAGCCAGAGCATGATGGTCTGTGTCTTGCACTAGCCATGGGCTCAGGGGATGGAGCGTTGTAAAGTGAAGGCTGACCTGGCACTGCAGAGCCACTGGGGAGCTCTGGGATCTGGATGTGTCCTGATGGCTCCTGTGCGTTGTGTTCCAGGCAGCTGCAAAGCAGTTTGCCAAGTCCCCTGTGGAGCGGCACCTGTCCCTGCAGGAGCGAAAGCGAGCGCTTTACGACTACGCCAGGAGGTAAGAGCCCCGCTCCAGCCCTGGCAGAGCCCCCACACCCCCCAGCAGCACCCAGGTACCTCCAGGCAAGGGCGAGCCTTGTGTCCTCCCATGCTCTGGCACAGGGACAGGGGCTGGGCAGAGCTTTGTCTGCATCCCCTTGTCATTCCTGGGCTTCTGTGTTTGGGGACTAGGTGTGATTGAAGCTGTTTGCCAGAAGCTGCTGAGGGGCAGGCATAGCAAAAACCCTCAGTTGTTCTTTGGTGCAAGGGACTTGACTGATAGAAGCCATTGTGGGCCTGCAGTGAGAACTGATGCTGTGGGCACTCATTTCAGACAGGAGTTGGCTGTTTGGCAGGAGGGGGAGAGTGCAGTTCAGGTTCCTCAGTGTCAGTGGAGAAGTGCAGGGACCAGGGAGCGAGTCTGACACCTGTGTGGGGTTTTAATAAGGAAGATCCTGGAACCAGTGTCCAGTTCTGGTGCTGGGTCTGGTGTAGAGGAGATGCAGGAGTTTCAGGCAGTTTGCCTGGGTCCCCTGTAGAGCAGCACCTGTCCCTGCAGGAGCAGAAGTGAGCGCTCTATGACTGCAGAGTGCACAGAGCTTGGTAGGGTCTGTGGGAAGGGGAGAACCACTCTGGTGCTCCAGGAGAGCCAGGAGAAGGTTGCAGAGGCTCAGGGATCCCATAGACCTCTGAGATCAGCTTCTCTCTGCTACTGAGAGAAGGAAATTCCCATGTCTGGAAGCTGAAGTAAGGCAAATCTTCAGTGCCCATTTCTAGAGGGCTGGTCCCAGGTGGCTCTGGGTAGCTCCTGGTCACCAGGGATTTGGTTCCAACAGCTGTTTTTCTGAAAGATGATAGCAGTTCAGAGGATTTCCATCTCAGAATAGTCCTGTGCCACAGACAGTGGTAGACTGAACTGAGAGTTGTACCCCAGGCCTTATGGGAGCATGGAGACGTTGAGGGCTGGATCCACTGGTCATGATCTTTTCAGCAGCAAAGAACAGAGGGTGGGAGTCCTTTCCTGTGGATACCCAACCTGACTTCTTGCTGCTCTGCATGATCCTTTCCTGAGGCTCTTCTGCCTGCTGGCTATGGAATAGTGATCCCTGCTCCTGAGAGAGGAAGGGGTTTGGGAAGGCACTTGGGCTCCTCCATGTCTGTACTCCAAAGGGCCCGATGTGCTGTCCCAGCCTCTGAGCAGGTGTGTGTGTGTGTCTGGAGTTCCTGATGACAGCGGCCCCCCGTCACTCAGTGGTTCAGGCTCAGCTCAGGGCTCCCGAGTGCTGCTCTCCCCCGGCCGCTCCGGCATTCCCAGCGCCAGGCAGTTGTTCCCGGCTGGGCTGTGCTTTGTTCGTGCTCTGCAGAAGCTCGGGGTTGGGCGCAGGAGGGGGTGTCCCGCAGTGTCACTGCTCCGTCCGCTCTGCCTGTCCTGGCTCCAGCCAGAGCATTCTGCATGCCTCTGTCCAGCGACCTCCCTGCTTGTCCCCGGTGGTGCCCTGGTTCTGCCGCCGGCCGGGGTGGCCACGGTTTCCTGGGCTCTGGGCAAGCTTCAGACAGGCACGGCCCGGTGTGGGGAGCCCCGGGTGTGGGGAGGGCCCGGGCCGGCCTTGGCCCCGGTTGGGGGGTGTCACCCCAGGGCCCGGTGCTGCCCTGCGGGCTCGCCCTCCGCGGGCGGTGCCGCTGACGCCGGTGTCTCCCGCAGGCGGTTCGCGGAGCGGAGCGGCGCGGCGCGGCTCGGCGGGCCCTGACCGGCCCTGCGCGGCTCGGCGCGCCCCCTGGCGGCGGCGGCAATAAACGGCGGCAGCGTCTGGCGCGGCTCGGCTCTGCGGGCGCGGGGGGGCGGGGCCACCGGGCAGGGGGCGGGGTTACCGGGCAGGGGGCGGGGCCAGCCCGGCTCCGTGCGGGCCCTCACGCGCCGCGGCCGCCGCCCGCTCGCTCGCCGCACGTAGGCGCCGCTTAAAGGGGCAACGCGGCGGGTCCCGGCGACCTGCGGCCGCGGGGCGGTGCTGCCGCCGAGCCCTGTGGGGACCCGACCTCCGCCGGAGCTGCTGCCCCGGTGCCGACCGCGCGGGCCCCAGCGCACGGAGCCGGTGCCCTTTTAAGACGGGAGCTGCCGGTGCCGGTGGTTTTATTTACATGGGGGCTCGGGGGCGTCACGTGACGGGCAGAGCCGAGCGCGGCGGGGCCATGGCGTGCACCGGCGATGACGGTCGGTGTGGGCACCGGGGGGGGGGCGGGAGCCGGGGGATGCCGGGTGTACTGGGTCAGGCAGGGTCCCGGGCAGGCACCGGAGGGAAGGGTGAATGCGGGCCCTGGGGGGGTCTCGTCCGGACCTGGGGGATCTGGGTCAATGGGAGTCCGGGGGTCCTGGGTGGGCTGGCGCGCACATGGGGGGATTTAGGTTAACGGGGGTCCCGGGAGGGCTGACGTGCACCGGGGTCCGGGTCGATGAGGAGCCTGGGGCTCACGGGCAGGCTGGTGTGGGGTGGGTGGGCTGGCTCCGTGGGAGTCCCGGGGGGGTGATGTGCACCGGGGAGGGTGGCTGGGGTCAGTGGGCAGCCCTGGGCAGACGCGGGCACACAGGTCAGAGGCAGGGCTTGGTGCTCCCGTGGCCCCTGGGCAGTGGTGCCCGATGCACAGCGGGGGGTCAGAGCGGGGTGCGGGTGGGCCTGGGGTCGGTGCCGGGCTGACGGCCCCTGCAGGCTCCTGGGTGGAGCTGCGCTGCGGCCCCGGGGGCCCTGAGCCCGAGCCCTTGCGGCTCTCCTCCTGCCATGCCGACGTGGAGCGGATGCTGCTGGAGGCACAGCTGGAGACCGAGAGCGGCGACGGGTGAGTCCCAGGGACCCAGCAGGGGGTGAGCCGGGGGCCTTGGGGTGGCACAGGCCTGGTGACCGGGGGTTGCTTTGCAGTGCCCTGCTCCTGATGGGCTCCCCAGTCTGGGATGAGGATGGAGCGAGTTCGGCCAGCGAGCGGCCTGGGGACAGCGACCTGCGGCCTCCCTGCAGCCAGCCCCAGCCAGGCTGCCTGCACCCCCGGCAGGTGAGGGAGCTACACGGTGCTCTGCGCCCTGTACCATGTCCTGTGCTGTGCTCACTGCGCCCCTGGTCTTACCTGTCCTGTACCTCTTCCTAGTGGGATGTGCCGGATGAAGCTGAGCGGAGGGAACAGCGCCTGCCAGCATCCCTTAACTGGGCCTGTGCCCGCCACCCTCAGCATCTCTCTCCAAAGTAAGGCCATGTCCTGTGCCCTCTTGCGGTGCTCTGCCCTCCTCCATTCCCCGTTAACTGTGCGCTTTTCCCAGGGAGTTTGCCTTTGTGTGCTCCCCGCAGCCAGTGCTGTGGAGCCTGCAGGGAGGAGCAGTGGGGAGAAAGAAGAAACTGTTCAGTTCAGAGCTGCTGCTGCTCTTCATCCCCTCGCTGCTGCTCAGCCACGTGCTGACACTGGGGCTTGGGTGAGTTTCTGATGGGCCTGACCTGGGCTTGGATGCATTCAGGGGAAGCCCTGCACTGATCTGTGTCTGTAGCCTGGGAGCCCCTGGCTGGCCCAGCCCAGGAGGCTGCCCTCATGGAGCTGGGCTGCGGAAACACTCCTGGATGTAGAATGGTCTTCCTTGGGTGCTGCTCCGAGCATCTCTGCGGGGTCACTTACAGTCTCTCTTTCCAACCCAGGATCTACATTGGGAAGCGACTGGCAGCCTCCTCGGCCAACCCACTGTGAAGAGCTGGAACCAGTGAGGCTCGGTGTGGGGGGAGTCTGGGCATCAGCGCAGCCCAACTGCTCCCAGGCTTCCTGGCTGTGGCACGAAGCACCGTCTCCCCTTGTCCCTTCTTTAGCCCCAGCCCAGGAGCTGATCCCGCTCTCCCATGTAGACAGAAGCGCACTGATGGCAGCTCCCGGGGCAGGCAGCCCCTGCCCCCCCATCCCTTGGTTACGGGTCCATGTTCCTCCTTTTTAACACAGACTGTAAATATGGCTCCTGAGCTGCACCACAGCGTGCGAGTAAAGAGCACTGAGTCACCGGCAGCACCAGACCCACACAGCCCAGCACCGGGTGAGCAGGCAAGCTCCCCAGGGCATTGTGGCATTCCTATGGGCTCAGGCTGCAGGAGCTCCCTGCCTGTTGGGGTGCTGGGGGGGTTGCCTGGCTGTGAAAGGGCCCCTGCTTGGCCTGTATGCATGCAGGGATGAGTGCTGGGCTCATAAACAGTTTTCAGCCCTGCTATAGCATGTATGGCTGGTGCATTAGGGCTTTATTAGCCATGACTGGGGCAGCGGGGAGCCCAGTGCTGGTGGCCAGGGACTGCAAAGCCAGATGTGGCAGGAGAGCTGGTGCTGCAAATCCAGATGTGGCAGGAGAGCTGGTACTGCCCAGGCTGCACACAGACCTGGCTGGGCCAGAGGGTTGTTTCTGGTGCTGTGGCATGGGGTGTGAAGATGAGGGACAAAGGACAGGAGCTGCCCCTGGTGTTGTGAGTGGGAGGAAAGAGCTGGCCCCATGCTGGCAGGGGGCTGGTTGTCCTGTGCATGCCATGGTCCCCAGGCAGTTGAGGGTGGAGGGAGGAAGATCCTTTCCAGTGTAGCGTGGTGCTGAGGGGCTGCGTGGCTCAGAGCTCAGCTGGGACATGGTGGGTGTGCGGCCACTTGGGCTCAGCAGGAACCTTGCCTCTGGCCTCTGGAGCACTGGGGTGGGGAAAAGTCTGGGGACAGGGAGGCCCCAGCCCTGGGGACACCTGAAGGTGTCAGGAGCCAGCCCTGGCAGGACACAAGGTGGCTGTGGCCTGTACTGGGGCACGCAGAGAGCTCCTGGGTTCTGCAGGGTGCAAGTGGGGGTCCAGCGGGCAGGAACAGGGCCGTTGGCACAGCGGGAGCGGGGTCACGGCGAGGTTTTCCATCCCTGGCAGATGGGGCTGCTGCGGGTTCGGGCTCAGAGCTGTGAGAGGCGCTTGAACCTGGGGGACGGCAGCGGCGGCGACTTCGGGCCTTTGTTTCCGTCCGCCGGGGTTGATGGGGTCACCTGCCAGCGGGAGGCGCCGTTACCGGGCGCTGGGGCCGTTACCGGGGGCGGGCCGGGCCGGGGGGTACCTTCCCTCCGGCGGCGTCGCTGAGCTCCAGGAAGGTCTCGTACACGGCGGAGCTGATCCTGCGCGGCAGCGGCGGGGCTCTGCTGGCGCTCTTCACGCGGCCCCCGAAGCCGGTGGGTGACGGGGACGGCCCTGCGGGGGGGGGGGGGGGTCATCCACCGGCGAGCCTGCGGGGCCCGTGGGGGTGCCGGGGGCTGCTGGGGCCAGCTCGCTCCTGTCCGCGGGGCTGCAGCGCGATGGGGCGAGAGCCCAGCCGGGAGAGGGGGGCTGTGGAGCTCAGCTCAGCACCCAGACCCATCGGCACCGGGACTGCGATCAGCAGCGAGTGCTCCACGGGGAGCATTGCGTGGGAGGCACTGGAGCCGCATGGGATCTGCCCGTGCTCTTGGTACCCCCGGTGCTCCCGGCTTGCAGCGTCCTGTGGGGCGCTGAGGGTGCTTGGGGGGGGGCTCGTACCCGCCCTGCTAGGACTGGGGCACAGCCCTGAGCCTGGCTATGGGGCTGGGGCTGTACCTGTGGGGCTCAGCTGGGCACCGGCGCGGCTTGGCCCCGGCTGCTTCCCGGCGGAGCTGCTCTCGCTCACGTGGGAGAGTCTCCGCTTCTCGTCCTGGGTGCAGAGGGAGGTTCAGCACCGCGGGGGCTCACGGGGGGGGCATCGCAGGAGCCTCTGGTGGGGCTGGGGAGCGCCAGGACCCTGCCTGCAGCCCCGAGCTCCTGCTCTGTGCCCCCTCTCTGCTGCTCCTGCCACCGGCACCTCGAGTCCCACCCGTGCTGGGGTCCCTGGTGCTGCAGGAGGCCTGGGGAGCATGAGCGGACGCCGGGAGGAGAGGAGGCGCTGGGGCCGGGCTGAGCCTCACCTTGGGCTCCGGCAGCTCCGAGATGGACTGCCACAGGTCCTGCCGCCGGTGCCCAAAGAAGGTGCTGGAGCGGTTTTCCCTGCACTCGGTCCTGCGCTCCTCACTCTCGGTGGGTTTTGGGGTTGGGGGGGTCTCCGTGCTGGGGAGCATTGGGGCTGGTGAGGGGCGGGCAGGCAGCAGGGGACGGGGAGCAGGGCTATGGCATGGGCCAGCCAGACCCAGCACCATCTCCACCGTGGGTGCTTGGCAGGCACAAGCCAGCAGGACCAGCTCAGGTACCAGGGGAGCCTGGGGGCTGCATACGGGGTGTCTCTGCTCCGTGCCACCCACGTGGGGGACCCCCGGGATGTGCCTGGAGCAGGGCACTGGTCTGGGCTGAGGTGCTGAGGACAGCTCAGGGGCAGCAGGGAGGGGTGAGGGCGGGGGGAGCTCGGGGCCGTGCTCCCACCACGGCACTTGCCTGTCTCCACAGTGGCTCAGCCGGTTCCAGTCGGGGCCCCAGGCCGTGGACCGGGGGCGTCCGGGGCGCTGGTCCTCGAACCAGACCTGAGAGCACAGGGAGCAGGGAGGGAGGAGATTGCGGAGCCCCCAGGGCCTGCCCTGGCTCTGCCTGGGGTTGTGCCACCCCACGGCAGTGCTGTCGTCCCCCCAGGGTCCCCCATGCACAGAGCCCCTCGCCCTGCTGCATCTCCAGCCCCACGGGTCGGTCCCTGCTGCCCCAGACCTGACCTGGCCTGCGCGGTGTCACCCGCGGGTGCTGCGCTCAGCACTCACCATCTCCCGCAGCCCGTACTGGCTCTCCACCTTGGCCCGCAGCTGCCCGAAGCACTGCTCCATGCGCTCGTGGAACGGCCGCAGGTCCTCTGTCAC